GGGAGGCTCTGGAGGCGGGGTGCTGGGAGGCGCTGGAAGGGGGTACGGGGAGCCTGCAGGGGGAGCTCCTAGAGCGCAGCTTCCTCACCCCCTCCCCTCGGGGAAATACATATTCCCGGCCAGGCGGCCCTTCAGTAGGAAAGTGTTCTTTGAAGCACCCGGCCTGTGGTCTGCCTTGGAAATTCAAAGGTTTCAAAGACATTTCCTGCCTTGGAGGAATTCACCGTGTTCACCAGGTGCTTGTAGCAGCTCTTGGGAAGCCGCTTATCACACCTACGACTTCATCCACTTTGTGGACGGACCCTCCAGCTCATTTCCCTCACTGGTCGTGGATGAGAGCGGAAGGCACGCGCTCTTCGTTTAATACAAGCATTTTTTAAATCTGATTTTGAAAGTGATTTCATTCCAAAGTTGCACTTGGTAAAAAGAATCTTACTCAAGTTGATAGGCACTCAGGTGATACATAAGCACATTTTCATTGTAATACTTAAAAAGAGTGTAGAATAAAAGGCGAATCTCCCTTTGACCCCACACTCCCTCCCGGAGGTGACTGCTGTCACTCCCGCGTGGTCAGTGTTAGCTTTTTCCTGGACGGGAATGGGCCCTGCTGTAATCACATGGCGGTTGAACTTCTCACTTCATGCAGCAGGAAGTCTTGAAAATGTTTCTTGGTAAGTACGTGTAGGCCTACCTAGAGCTGCGTCAGTCTTTCATAAGGTGGACGGGCCATCACATGGGTCACATTCCCGGATTCGGGTTGGTTAGGTTGTTCCTTGCTTCCCTCTTCCCTTTTTCATGGTGATAAATATATACACACGTGCGGGAATTCCTTTAGAGGCTGTATGACCTAGTCATGGAACTTGCTGGATCAAAAGGGGTATGCGGTAGATACGGCCATATCGCCCTCAAGAGAGGCCTTGAGCTCTTTGCTTCTTACCAGAGTGCCTATTGCCCCGCACTTGCGACAACAGTGGACGTTAGGAATCTTTTTAAAGTTGAACAAAGCTGATAGATGAGGTGTCCAGACACCCTGGTTACTTCAGTTCACATCTGCGAAGATAGGGGCCTCGAAGGAGCACCTGCAGACAGAGAGCATCAGACCGTATTCAACAACCCATACGGTCTCCGTAAGTATCTGTCAGAGTCATTTGTTCTAAACAGAGTACGTAACGTCTGCCATTTATCTGTAGATTCCATTTCTCCACTGCCGCCTTATTCCCTTCGGTGTAGACTGTGGAGGAATGAGTCCTTTGTTTTGAGTTAACTCCTGTACTAACTAACACAACGTGCCTCCACACAAAGTGATTTTTAAAAACTCAGTTGAGGTGCATTAGTTCTGGGGCGTACAATAAATATCTGATCTGATGTTTCCCCTTGTACTTTGTGCCCCCCCCCCCTTATTTTTTTAAAGATCGCCTTGCTGAGAATTCTGGTTCTTCCCCTCATCGCCCTGTCTGTCCTGTGCTGAGTAATTTCTTTCTTTCAACCTTTAAAAGCCCACATCTATCTTCCTCACCAGTCCCCACACATTGGTGGGGGGGGGAAGGGGGCTGTTCAGCTTGTGACAGTGAACTTTTTTTCCCTGAAATTCTTAACCTTACTTACTGGTGACACACGGTGTGGCCCTGTGCATTTTGTGCTTCTGTTATAGTAGATGGTTTTCAGGTGTCTCTCTGCTTCTTGAATCGTCTCTGACTGAATTCATTCTCAAGGCGCTGGCTTAGGGATGGCTGGGTAGAGCCACGTACCGTAAACTGACTTTCAAAGGGAGGGCAGGGGCGCTTGCTTTCATGTAGAAATCTGCACGCTCAGTGCCTGTGTCTGATCTTGTGCCACGGCTCATTCTAAAACTCCGCTTCTCTTTCCAAGCAGCCCAGACAGAACAAGTTTTTACAAGTGCACATTGAAAGTACATTGAGAGGAAACCAGAATTTATAGACCCTATCATGGAGGAAATAAGGTCATTCTTAAAGGAGTAGTAATTGCCCACAATTTACTTGAAAAGTCACTTTCTGCCCAAATTAGTGTTTTCCGTGTGCCACCCTGTCTCCAAGGCTCCGGAGCTATTCAGAAGCCACGAAAGGAAAGAACAGAAAACGGCACGAACAGGCCGAGGAATGTGCTTAGGCCGACATCACTCCCATCCACGCTGGAGTCCGTGTACGCTTCCCGTCGGGATTCTTGTTAAAAAAAAAAAAAAAAAGTAAACTAGATCTTAGCTCCGTTCCGTTTGTCGTGTGGAAGCTTGTCATTTAGGAGACCCAGCGGACACATTTCCTACACAAAACTTTACAAATCGGGTTTGGTGTGGCACACTCCTGGAAACCAGAAATTCTCAAACCGGAATCCTGGCTTTTAGACTTGAGTCCTTGTGTGGCCTGGGGCGACCAGTTAGCTTCTCACCTCCCTTCTCGCCATCTATAAAGGATACATACTTGTGTCTCAGGGATGTTGAAAGGATTAATTAGTTCGTCTGTAAAGCGCTTTGAAGATGAAAAGTACTTTAAAAGTGCTTCTTAATAACATTATTGCTTAGAAAAGAGTGCCACTTTTATGCTAACCACTTCACGTCTCAAATTATGTAAAGAAGACCTGTTTCGTACATCACTACCAGTCGTAAATTGGAGATAAATCTCTCGTGGTGTGCACATCAAACGTTTCCTTCAGAATTTCAAAGGAGCATCGCTTTATCTTACGGGGCGTTTCGGAGCAGTGTTCTGCCCAGTAATTAGTGATGAAGATCGTATTTCAGGAAAAAGAAAACCCTGCACCCGGTTCAGCCGTCTTCCAATTCAGTCAGGTCGTTCAGTATTAACTTGAAAGGGAAGTGCGGTTACTTTTTTCGAGGAGGGAATAGAAGAGAGAACCACGTTCTTTCCTTCTTTCTTCCTCTGCTCCCCGCACCCGTTTCCATCACAGGCACCTGAGGGTGTTGCTGCTTTGCCGTTTCTCCAGGCGTTAGAGCTAATATTAAAACTTACGGGAAGTTTTTGTCTTTAAGCCTGACGCAGTTTTTTCCCCTCCGAACCAAGTTAACAAAAAGGGCCGGTGTTGTGAATTTCTAATAAAACGTTACAGCAACATGCAATGAAGTGTTACATGTGCAAGATACAAATGGAACGTCTTGATCGTAAAGCCGGGGCACAACGATGTTAATTATGCAGATGACAGAGAATTACGGGGCACAGCAAACCGTAACGGGGGCAGGACGTACAGAAAGAGACTCTAGAAAAGTTTAGAATATATGATCAAGACTTGAAACAAAATGTACATTGGGGTAAAGTGCTTCGGGAAGAGTAATTCAAGTAAGAAATTGGAAGGAAAAGTCACCTGGAGAAACAGCAGTGAGTGAGTAGACTGAATCGGATAGAATTTGCCCTCGTCTGTAGTCAGACCGGTTCGCGGTTCGGGTTGTTCTTGCGACGGGTGGTGAGTGTAGTCCAGGGAGCTAAGAGTGAGTGAAGGAAAAATCAGAATTCGCGTGGCCCTTCTCCAAGCCTTGATCTGGAAGACTTGATCTGTGTGTTCGCTCCCTCGACGAGGTGAGTGAAACGCTCTCCTACCTTGTGCGTGCTTTAAATACGAAATGCTTCGGAAGCATACGTGCCGCTGACCATTACAGGAGATTACAGGCTTCAGAAATAGTGCTCCTTGGATCTTAGCTTCAGAAATGTGATTTAGTAAGATAAGCAGCGATCATTGAAAATCTATTTGGAACCACCACTTAAAATACTAAGTTTGTGGCTGTTTGGGCAGCTGTTGTTTTTACCGCGTATCTACTGGGTGTGAGCAAAGGCTGAGCGCCCCTAATTCTTCCCGCGGTTGTGTTGAATGAATGCCATTTTCTGTCTTGACCACAAGGGTAAAGGATTTTCTCCATGTGAGCAGTGCTCATTAAAACTGGTTTCAAATGCTAAATCAAAACGTAATGCTAATTAACGTATCATTCTCTTCAATTTCCCACAGTAAAACGCTTGAAGATCGTTTGAAACTTGAGGCAAAAAATGGCACGTTGAGTATATCAGACACCACAGTTGGCAGCAAACAGTTGACGTTCACGTTAAAGAGGGTAAGTTTTTAGTGTTATGTTTTTTCATTCAAGAAAGGAAACTAGGCTTCCAGTAGAGCTACGTGTGTGTGTGTGTGTGTGTGTGTCTGACCTCAGAACTGCCCTCCCAGGCTTTTCCCCTCGGAGGAACCATGTTCCCGCTCTAGCACTCCTCCCGCAGCCACAGCCCCTCCTGGGTTCCTGGGTTCGGGGCAGGCACACAGCTTGGCCGAGGCAGAGGCAGGCGGGTCCCAGGGTCCCCGGGGGGACAGGGCAGCAGTGTGGTATCTGGGTATCTGGGTCACTGGGCTTATTCTGGTCTCTGGTCCCTGGTCCCTGGTTTCCCTGTAAAGGGAAAGTCCTGACTGTCTGGGGCTTACACAGTTCGTGTGAAAATGAAAATAGGATGGCTCTGAAATTATGACTATGATTGTTATTACTATTTTTTTTTTTTTTTTTTTTTTTTGGCTAAAAACAAAAGCACTAAGAAATACCTAAAATGGCCCCATGGTTGAGTCAAGCAGAGGCTGTGAAACTCTTGGGGGATGCATCAGTTAATATTTGATTTATGCCAGTTGTATCATTTGAGTAACCAAATTTTAACCTCTTAAATCTCATTTTTACTTAGGAATAATTAGGGATCTGTGTAGTTTTTAATAGAAATCTCTTTCTCTACTAGGTGTGTGATATATTTAGGTAAAATCTCAAGTTTTTCCAAGATTTATATATATAATTCAAAAAAAAAATTTTTTTTAACGTTTATTCATTTTTGAGAGACAGCATGAGTGGAGAAGGGACAGAGGGAGGGAGACACAGAATCCGAAGCAGGCTCCGGGCTCCAAGCTGTCCGCACAGAACCCGATGCGGGGCTTGAACCCACAAACCATTGAGATCATGACCTGAGCCCAAGTCGAACGCTCAACCGACTGAGCCACCCAGGCGCCCCATTTTTTTTTTTAAAGTAAACTCTACCCACAATGTGGGGCTCGACCTCACGACCCCACGATCAAGAGTCACGTGCTGTACCAACTGAGCCAGCCCGGCGCCCCTCATGTATACTTTCTAATATGTGAATAGAATGGAAGGGGAAAGTTCATGCTTTCATATTATTTAAAATTGTATAGTGGCAAAAGTAGGATTAGGTCCCAAATCCAGGTTTCGAATTTCCTGTACCGTAGTTCCTCCCTCATCAGATCCTTGGCGAGGCTGCTCCGTGTGGTCTCGCCTGCGCCCGTGTCCCCCCTTTCGTTGGGCCGGCCTGCTGGTGACTGTGGGAGAGCAGCCGGGGCAGGACCGAGATGGAGAAGGAAAGGAAAACGTGGAGATGAGCTACTTGGCCCATAGATCATAAGGGGCCGGTCACGTGGTGTGGACGTCTTCCAGGACGGCCTTTCAGAGAGAGGCTGGTGCGGGTCCCTTTCTGGATGGGGCTCCGTCTGCGGGACAGTCGTGGCTGCTTACAGACTCCTCAGGAGGCTCCTGCCTTGGTGGGGAAGGCCTGGCAGGGCCCCGCGCAGTGTGCAGCTGGCGAGGGAGGTGCTCCCGGAAGGTTGCTCTTCCGCCAGACCCATAGGGAAACGCCTGGGACGGACGTCCGTGTTGAAGCTGCAGAAACGCTCCAGTGCACCTTGTTTACCTTTACTTGGTTCATCATTCCCCGAAATTGTTTGGATGAGACACTTTCGGGGATTCTTTTTAACATGAAGAAACAAAATATTAGATGCCCAGTGTTGACTGACTCTACAAGGGTCCTGATCCTGTTACCTGGTGTGCCGGTAGGCGGGTTCCCTTGGGTTTTCTGAGCTTACCGTTAACAAGTGCGTCTCAGATATCCGCTCTGGGGTATGTGCCCGGGATACACAGAACAAGACAGATGTGGTCCTCGCCTCTCCGGTTCTCAGTCTGTCGAAAGAAGCACGCCCCCAGTTCCATCATGATGGTGGTGGCGGGGACCCCGGCAGAAGACAGAAGTGCTGTGAGAGCGTCCGCCGGGGCCTGACCCACACACGGGGGCTGGGGAGGGCGAGCGATGTGCAGGGTGAGAGCCCCGAGGGGCCAGGCGGGGCTCCAGGCTCAGGGTACCACCGAGGCAGAGTTCTTGCCTGAGGAGGGAGGTAGTCGGGCACGCTCGAGGGTGCAGACGAGGGCCCGCGTGTGTAAAACGGGATCCCGGGAGGAGTGGTGTCGGATCTAGCCGGAAGCACAGGGGGCCTGGTCCTGCGGGGCCTTGTGAGTGGGCCGTGGGTTTCTCCTCGGACCTAAGTGGAACCGTGGAAAGCCGTTGACAGGTTTTAGCAGAAAACTGACCGTTTGTATTTCTAGAAACTGAGTGTGGCTGTTTTCCGAGGAGTAGTGGGCCGAAGGGGCCCGGAGCAGAGGCACGGTGGGCGCGGAGGAGCTCGGGACACACGGGGCAGGAACGTGCGGCAGGATTGACTTGGAATGGGCTCTGAGGAAACAGTGGTAATCAGAAAGAGAACTCAGGGACTCATTCGGAGCCCCCGTCTCGGAGCTTCCTAGAGCAGGGGACTCGACGCTTCGGGTCGTCTCTGCTTCCCCACCACTCGCTCACCTCTCAGCTCTGGTCGGGAAGTACTGAGTCGTGCCAGCTGGAGGTGAGGACAGAGACTTCCCCTGAGGAGCAGAACACAGAGGAGTATTTTCGGGGCGGAGAGCAACACGGGCCACCGTCAGGCAAGCCTCGTAGGTGTCTGTAAGGCGGCGCTTTTCAACTCGGAAAAATTAGGTCCCGGCAGCGCTTTCTCAGTTTCCCTTTTGTGCAGTCCCACCGGCTGAGAATATTTTCTGAGCTTTGCATTCAAGAGTTGGTACTGTCGGGCCCGTCAGATGTGATTTGGAAACCACACGGCTCTTCCCTCCACTGCGGATTCTGCGTCGAGGAAGCACCGCTGAAAGCAGTGGGCCTCCTCGAGGGCCGGGGCGCCTTCGGCGCGGTCGGCCTGCTCGGCCCGCGAGCCTACCTGCGCACTCGCCCCGCCAGGAGCTCGCAGGCCACTTGTCCGCCCAGCCGTTGTCGGTGGTTAACGGTAGCAAATCTCTGGCTTCCGAGGGGAGTTTGACTCTTCGGAAACAGCCGGAAAATCTTTGGAACCAGTTCTGGCGGATGATACTTAATCGTGGGTGGGTTGAAATACACCGTTAGTACCTGTAAGTATTGTTTTGTTTTGGGTTTGGGGCCACGTAAATACGTGTTTTTGGCTTACGAATAGGGCAGCATTGTGGGGGCAGAGTCCAGGGGCTGGACCACGTGCGCCGGGGTCCCGGGGGCAGTCTTTCCAGAGCCCCGCAGCGGGGCTGTGGCCGTTGGTGGTCTGCCGGTCCCCTTTCTGTAAAGGGGGTATTGGGGTTTTCCTTCCTTCTCTCTCACTTCTCTTCCTCCTTCAGTCTGAACAGCAGAAGAAGCAGCAAGAGGCTGAGAAACTGCACCGACAGGAAAGGAAGACACTGCGTCGCTCAGCCGGTCACCTGAAGTCGAGACACAGACGGGGACGGCCATTTCACTGAATCTGGGAATGACCCTACGTGTGGTGCGGAGGGAGCGCCCGGACCGCTCGCCCTCGGGGTGCGTCGCAGACGGGGGAGCGCGCTCCGGAGGTGCCCGTGACCCCTTGGCGCCTCTGCAGGGTGAATGGCGGCCTGTCCCCGTGCTTCCGCGTCAGACTCTGCAGCCGCCCCCGCCGGCCGGTGGGTCGCCCCCAGGCTGCCCTCTGTAAGTCGTCGTTGCCCCAGTCGGTCTTCCCCGGGTTTTAATCAGGTGGAGCAGGTGGTGGTTCTCCCACGTTGTGAAACGTGTGCCGCGAGATGGGAAGTCACTGCGGGCTGAAACTGCAGGCTCTTCGTGGTCCCGGGACTTTGTCCCTGCGGCACCTGCTGCCACTCACTGGCAACCCGCCCCGTCCCACCCGGTGCCCGGGTGCCGGCCGGCTTCGCGGTCACACGTTCGGACGCTTGTGGCTTGTACGCGTGTTAGTCCGGGACTTTTAAAAAAACGTTCATGTACCAAGAGAATATAATTTAGCGGTAATAACAACCTAAAACAGGAAACGGAAGCTACTGGTTATTCTTTTAACTTTTCGCAAGAGTACAGATTTTTTTGTTTGTTTCTTAAGTGCAATTTGAGATACACTGGCTGGAGAAAACATTTGTAAAAATAAATACTTCCATTTTAATGGCTCCTTTGAGGCAGATCCATTCTTTGAATTAATTTGAAAATTAAATTTGGTTTCCCTAGCTTTTCAGGTGTTCGTGGGATTTTGGAAGCGTGTTTCTTTATGCACGGCTGGAACGGGGGCTCTCTGGCCCGCAAATGACAGAATCTTTCTGAAAATGCTGTAAGCACGAAGGGAAGGTAGAACGTGCTGAGGGCAGCAGGCTGCAGAGTGTGTAGCTGGCCTCGGGGCCCCGGACTTAGCTCACTCTCCCCGCCTTCCTTTTCTTCCTCCTGTTGCCGCACGGTTCCTCATCCCTCCGGGTCTCCCCGGCTCACGTTCCTGGCCCATCCCCCGTCCCCATCACATCTCTGTTGCTTCTGTGCGGACAGGTGTCCGCTTCTGAGGCCCGAGAGGTGTGGTCTGCTTCCAGAAAAAAAGGTGCCTTGTCTGTGGCGTGCGAGTCCGTGTTGTGTGTATGTGTGTCTGTGGTGAATGTGTCTGCGGTGCGTGTCCGTGTGGTTTATGTGTGGGGACAGACTCTTCGCCAGACAAGAGTCTTATTTATTGCCTGCACCCAGCCCGGCTCGTGCTCTGGGACCAGAGGCTTCACCTGTTTCCATCCCCGGAGCCACTGCTCTCCTTTTCCAGCTCTTTATCCCCTGAACCCCTTTTATGAACCACCTCCTCCCGAAGGAAGGGGCCTCAGCTTTTCTGCACTTCCTTTTCTCTGTTTCCCACGTTGACCGCTTCCTCAGAGAGGACTCCAGAAGTGAGGCAAGGACACTCAGCTCTTGTCCCGGGGGATCCCCGAAAGGGCAGAGGGATCTGTGATGGGTGTTCAGGGAAAACTTACTCAGCAGGTCGATGTACAGATGCCCCCTCCAGGCCCCGGGGCCCCCCCTGTCGGGGCCTTAGAATAGCCCCCTCTCTTCCGGGTTGAGATTCTTCAAGTACCTGCCACAATCTTCTCCCTTCTTCGGAATGTAAGTTTCATACTTGGTAATTGTTTGGTTTGTGATGGATTACTTTCCAGCCCTACGTTGTGGGTCTCCACCAGAGAAGAAGTACATGCAGGGCGTTAGGGAGCCGGGCACAGCCTAAAGATGGGGGCTTGGTTTCCACACCAGGACCGTCCCAGGGGCTACTGAGCGGTGATTTCTCCCCTCGTCCTGCTCCAGATGCCCCTCAGTCTCTAATATCCCTGACCTGATGCCTAAATGTGGGGTTTTTACATTCTTTTTAATGTTTATTTACATTTTGAGAGAGAAAGAGCACAACCGGGTACAGGGCAGAGAGAGAGGGAGACACAGAATCCTGTGAGGCAGGTTCCAGGCACAGAGCCTGATGTGGGGCTCGAACCCATGAACCATGAGATCGTGACCTGAGCCGAAGTTGGACGCTTAACCGACTGAGCCACCCAGGCGCCCCTGTTTTTTTTTTTTTTTTTTTTTTTTTTTTTTTTTTTTTTTTTTTTAAGCTTATTTGTGTATTTTGAGAGAGTGAACAGGGGAGGGGCAGAGAGAGGGTGAGAGAGAATCCCAAGCAGGCTCCACACTGTCAGCACAGAGCCCAACGCAGGGCTCAGTCCCGCAAACTGTGGGCTCATGACCTGAGCCGAAATCAAGAGTCAGATGCTCAACTGAGTCACCCAGGTTCCCCCTAAACATGTTTTTAAACAACTATTTGAAAGAAAGTGAAAGGGGAAATTGATGGGCACACAGTGGGCACGATGGGGCATCTGGGCTCTGGTTGGTTCTGCCCCTTAACCTGGGTGGTAAGGTACTACCCTCACGACTGGTACACCTTTCCGTATGCATGTTATACCCCAACTACAAAATCTGATTAGAAAAGAATTGTATCAAAGTCACCTGTACCCATTATAACACGTTAGTCCCATCTGATCCCCCGAGATCACTCCTGATGCTCTAAGACACATTTTTTCAAATATTCTTCCGTCTTATAAGCAGCTATATACACATTTGTTTTGGTAATCAAATGGGATCATACTATTTATGCTGTTCCTCAGCTTGATTTTTAGAACTAATTTTCTCAAGTGAGGACCTATGCAGAGAGATGTACTTCATTGCTTTTTATAAACTTCAGACTGTTTTACTGTATGGTTGATCCATAATCTGACTCTTCCCCTATTGATGGTTATGCCTAAAACTCTACAGAAAGAACCTTTTAAGAAGTCACATCTGTGATAAGTGTAACCCAACTTATTTTTTCAATGGACGTATGTAGGTAACTTTCTGGAACACCCGTGCGTGTAGCAAAGCACTGTAAATGGCAATGCTGCTTTTTCTTCTTTTTCTGTATCTCTTTTCTCTGAGATTATCTCTTTTTTTTTTCTGAGATTATCTCTCTTTTTCTGAGATTTGAGAGAATTCAGTTCTCTAGTTAGGCTATTGTTTTAGCTCTATCCGTGGGACTCACCATCTGTCCTAAGAGCAGAAGCAGATATTTTTTTAACATAATTGGGCTACCCTTAATGACGTTCTTTTCCACACTGTTTATGGAGCGTACTGGTAGGCCTCCAACTATAATTATTACAAAGTTCCTCAGACAGTTGTGTGGGTTTTCATCTCTCGTGCGAGACCCACACCGTGTGTCCTCCGGCCGCCATGAGCAGCACAGACCTGACCTGTGAGTGCACAGGCAGGGGCACCGTGGCACTGCCCTTGCTGCTTCTAGAACACTCCGGGCATTCTCTTAAGCCCAGATGCGTTCTCTTTGCAGGTGCATTTCCTGTGCTTGGAGTGCTTTTCTTCGGCCGGCCATTGGCGTGTCTGTCACACTCAGGGAGCAACCAGCTGATGTTAAATGGTCACGCCCTTGCCCCCCGCACACCGCAATGGATACCCAATACGGTGTGCTTGTAAGAGACTTTATTATGGAAATTCTCAAACATGTACCGAAGCAGAAGACAGCTTAATGTGCTCCCCCATACGTACCCATCACCCAGCTTCAGTAGTTAACAACAATCTGATGTCATTTCACCGTGAACTCCCACCCGCTGGCCCCATTACTTTGAAAGATTTTGATTCCAGATACTATGTTATCCATAAATATTTGTGCTGCTTTTTTTGTTTGTTTATTGTTTGCCCCCCACCCCCATCCCACACCAGAATGTACCCTGTTTTGTTCACTGCTGTATATCCAGCATGTAGTACGATGCTTGGCACATAGTCGCTATTTAATAAATTTGTATTCAATGAATAGTTGAGTTAGATGGAACTTTGAATTCAATACCACATGGGGCAATTGTCGCTTGTCAAGAGCCGTCTCAGGGCAGAAAGGCCTCACTGGAGTAGTTCAGGAGGGAGTCGGCAAAAGGGAGTCAGAAGGAGGGATGGTGAGCAACACTTGGAGTTTTGGGACATACGGGAACAGAAAATAGGATGTGTGCGATCAAGAGACGGTTTTCTTTAAAACGAGAGAAATCCCAGCACGTCTGCAAGTTGCTGGGAATCATCCAGGAGAAGGAAAAAGTGATGATGGCGGAGAGGACCATCTCCAGAGTGACAGCATCAGTAAGTGTAGTAGTTATCTACTGCTGTGTAACAAGTTACCTCAAAGCTTAGCGGCTTAAAATAACAGAGTCACCTAACGGTTTGGGTGGGTCGGGAATTCAAAAGCAGCCTGGCTGGGTGGTGCGGATGCAGGGCCTCTCCTGAGGGTGCGGTCAAGGCGTCAGCCGAGGCTGCCGTCGTCTGCAGGCGTGACCTGGGCTGGAGGGCACATCCCTTCCACACCTAGACACACAGTTGCAGGAGGAGGTCCCAGGTCCCCGCCACCTGGACCTCTCCATGGGGCTGTCCTCAGGACTTGGTAGCTAACTCCCCGGAGCTATAGATCCAAGCGTGAGAGAGACCAAGATGGAGGGCACGATGCTTTCGAGCATCACCTGGTGCCAGAGGTCATGCGTCAGAGGTCTTCCGCTTTCTTCCGTTTGTTAAGAGTCGCGAAGTACACCCGCCCCTGCCCCCCACTCAACTCAATTAGGTGCCATCTTCTGAGCGTAAGGAGCATCGGTAAGGCTGCCAGATAAAATACAGGACACTTGGTGAGATGTGAATTTCAGATAAGCAAGTAATTTTTCAGAGTATGTTCCGCATATCGGATGGGCCATCCTTACGTGAAAAACTTGTGATTTATCCAAACTTCAAGTTTAATGGATGACCTATATCTTTATTTGCTGGATTGGGCCACCCTAGAAGGAATGCGTAGACGTAGTTTAGAACCGGCACAGTAGCAAAGGAGGGAATGGGGTGTGGTGCATAGATAGACGTAGTGACCTTGCATAGACACGCGGGCAGATTGTAACGAGAGAGAAGGCGAAATACACAGGCA